TTCTTGTATGACAATCAAAAATGTCTTGTGTCTGCTAAGCCAAAAGTCCAACTGCCAGTTTGTAACAAAGCCCGAATCTGATCAGCAAAAAAATGTATTCAATTTGTCTATGTGAGGGGGCAGGGTATGAGATCAGCATGGAGTGGTGACAGCACTCCTATCTTCACCAACCCTCTTTTCTCATGTGTGGGATGCACGTCGCAGTGCCATTTTCCTGCTCTATGGTGAATCTATGGGAAAACCCTACACCCACCATATGAAGGGCACAGTGTGGGTCACAATGGTGACTTTTTTCCTATTATCTCTTGAAATCTGTTACAAAGATGTCTCCATTATTGGTAACAGTTTTTCACTGCCATTTTCTAAAGCGTATAATAAATATCAAAACACCTATATAAATATTTACAAAATTCCTCAGTTTAGATCCCTTCTCATAGCTAGCAAGTTAGATTGTTGTATAAAACCCCAGAAAATTTCCAGACATTAAAACTCCCACTCCCAAATAAAAGAAGAAGACTCAAGTAAAGGATATTTGGACTACAGATACAAAGGATCATAAAAGTGGATAATGACAGTTACAGTCAGTCTGAAATAAAATCGTTTAGAAATCTGGAAGAGTAAAATCAATAAAATATTTTTTAAAAATAATCGATCCACTCCTATGAGTAATGCTTGTTTTGATACAGACAGTTTACAAGAAACGAAACATGCATAAATCTCCATTCTAAACGTGGCAAGGAGGCATCTCTGTCACCACAAAGGGCAGTGAATGCAAGAGTTTGGTCAAATTGCAGAGATAGGGGCACAGGGAATGCTAACTTTATTTACTGGGCTGAAAACCAAGAGAAAAAAAAGAAAAAAAAACTGTATTCATATACTTGCAGACCTATTCCATGGCAGAAAAAAAACAAAAACAAAAAACATCCAATTGAAATCATCTTTACTTAGTCTGCTGAATCGAACATACTGAATATGGATTATGACTGATCACCAGAGATGGCCACACACCACTGCTTACTGGGCTGTGAAAAGAAGTGCAGTGCTGTTGCTCTTCACAGGTTTCTGCCAAACCATTACATAGAGGCAAATCCTCAAGGCAGGTCTGTGCAGTAAGTGCAAAGAACAATTGCTGTTACTATTGTGATCCATCTATGTAAAAACAGTGATTGAACCTCGATGTTCTCCAGACTTGCTGCATAGCCCTGACTTGTATGAGCTTTTAGCATGGCAAAACGGAGGACTTGGCAGATGTGTAAGCAGGATTCTCAGGAGGTAGCAGGTTCTCTATTGCCATAGCTTTATACAAGATTTTAAAGGATAAGTTCTCCTTTTCAGGCAGAATTTCACTTTTCATAATAGAATCCTTTTCCGATGCCATTTCTGGCCCAGCCATCCCAATGTGCTATTCTCTCCTACCTCATCCACAGGACGTTTAATTTTTTTGTCAGTTTGAGATTTTGAACGGATTTTCAGATTGCATCATTTCCTATAGATCACATCTCAGCATTCACTTCCTGTAGGCCATCTCCCAGAATCCTTCACTTCCTTGCTCCATCACAGAAGAGAGTGGGATAGGCTGTGTTCACCACTCTGGACCACACCTCCTTCATTACAATACTACCTTCATCCCATCAACTATGCAGTACAAGGGCCTGTCTGATTTGATACCAATTGAATAGATTGTTCAGATGTGTCCTATTCCATAGTTCTGGTAAATCTAAAGGAAATTGTTCAGAGATTGTACAATCAGATTGCATAGTGTATGGCCATCTTTTTACAAGTACATAGGAGGGAGTAGATGGAGTTGTCAGGCCCCGTTCACATCTCCAAGTAGTAAAGACTCACATTCCTGTATGCGTTTCATTTGGGTGTTTTGGAGCATTTTCACTTGTCACACATAGGGCAGTCCATTCAGTTGAATTTCCCCACAAAAACGCCAGAACTTTTTTTAAAGCGGAGCATGGTGAATTACCCAGTTTTGGTACGTTTGCCACACTTGGGGTGCCTCTAACATGTAATGACAACACAAACGCTATATACATTTGCATTGTTTCTGAAACACATGGCAAAGTGCATATTTTCTGTGCCATTTGCCATGCATTTGGAAACACACAGATATGAATGGAGTCTCATTGTTCTGTATAAACGCACCAATTTCACACCTAGACTAGTGGGAGTGCATGGTTTTTGGCTAATTTTTCCAGTGACACACATAGGGTATCCCATTGATTTCAATGGACTGCACCACACGTGTCGGAAATCTGAGGCTGAGTACCTGACACCCCGCCCTTGTCCCCCCCCCCCCGCACACCTCACCACAAGGGTGGGCTCCACACACACCATGCCCATGGACTCGATCTCCTGCAGAAGAATCCTCTTGATGACGCTCCCAGGCTCTCATCCTTGTTGGGATCCCTGTAGCCCGGGCCAGGGACAGGCGGCTGGTACAGTGAGGAAGGCAGAGTGAGGCCAGCACAGGATACTAGAGGGCACTCTGGGGACATCCCGCTACTCTCAGTAAAGATAGGCGATAGATGGGGAGGGAAAGGTATTCGGATCATAGAGGACAGATGGCCAGGGCACTGTGCAAAGTGCCCCTCATCCATTGTGTGGTGTGTTATATGCCACTGGCGTAGCCCAGTCCACCCCTTGTTGCGACACACTACTTGAGAATCATTGCACTATATAATCTGATTGTACAATCTCTGTATGATCTCATTTAGAGTTACCAAAACCATATAATAGTAGGATACACCATCTATCCAATCACTCTATATCCAATCAAGCAGGCCCTTGCACTACATGAGGGGTGTTCTGTGGGCTGCATGCGGCCCCAGGGAGTTTAGCATGCGGCCTGAGCCCATCTGTAGAGATACTGGGGTAGCCAGGCAAATACACGTGTGTAGAGATGCCAGGGATGCTGTAAAAAATAGTTGATGGGTGAAGGGTGTGTGCTAATGAGGTCAGTGCAGGATGTGTGTACTAATGAGATCAGCTGGTCATCTGCTTCTGGGGTTCTACTGCCACCTCTATCCTCCATCTACATTTCAGGAAGTGAAAAATCTTTCTAAGAAATTTACCAAGGCTAAGATAAGGCCTTGTTCTCCAGATCAAAGAGAGCTTGTATATTTTTGCAACCATAGTACATTAATGGTATATTGGTGCATAGGGGAGCTGAATTTTAGAAAGAAGGCAACATTAAAAAAAACAAAAAGTGAACATAGCCTTTAAACAGGCCAGATTTTTGCACTGGGTTGGATATGATGCCCAACAGGCTTTCCGTGTTCTGAAAGACCTCCACCCTGACCCACGACACAGCTGTCAAAGTTTGAATATAGCTTTTAAGCTTAGCTACTTGCGTCACCGTCTTGTTAGTCTTTTTCCCTCTTCCATTTGTACAAAGAATCAACTCATTTGTAAATGTACTAACTCGATGTCACTATAGGCGCCCGGTGAGATGACTGGCTAGGGTAAACACTGGTCTACTCACAAAATGCCATCCTCCACAATGACTGGGGCATATATAAATCTGAAGGTGTTAAGTTATCCTGCATATGATGATTGTTCTAGCTAACCTGGCAGTGGTAAACTGATACTGAAAATGTGCATTGCATTAAGTTCTTAACTTGTAACAATATAAACTGTGTACTTAAACAAGTTGAGTGAACAAGAAATACACATGTTTTCTGTGTTCTGAATTATGAGGCCACAGAATTTAAGGGTTGTGATTTAAAAAAGGCTAGTTCGATGTAAGCGTACCCTGACAAATATCCAAAATTAGAACTGAATGCCTAAAAGTAGTGTGAACAGCTGAATTACATACACTAAAGAGAATCGATCACGACACAGCTGGGATCTCAAAAAAAAAAAAAAAAAAAAAAAAGAACAAACAAAAACAAAAAAAAAGAACAAAAAAAAACAAAAAAACCCTGCAAAGAAACATCCAAGGTAATTCCTGGCTTTAAATTGTCTACCAAGTGTGCCTCCATAGGTCTCTATGAACTGTGCAAATTGTAACATCATTTCTATGTTCTAAGATAGGATTACCTGTATTTAAAAAAGGATAATATATTTCCATTTCTTTATAAAAGTTATATATTGAAAATAAGTAATGAACAAACATGGGATATATTTTACAAATAAAGTGTGCAAGAACTACACTTGCCTTGTGAACCCTGTTCCCTAAACGTTAACCCCCAGATACAGAATAATTAAAAATGATAATGCCTTTTAAAGGAAATGAACGGCAGGTTTAGAGAAGTGAGGCCCTGCTAAAAGGTAGTAAAATTTCTCCTTATATGATTTCTAACATTCACAGATCCATGACCAATGACTCTCCCCTCTTCTGACCTCACTGTATTTTGCTCCTGCCTCCAGAGGGAAATCTGGTCCACAGCTGCTTCATTAGGCACAAAATAACAAAATGGTGCCTAAATCACTTCCTGAGGCACAGGAACACAAGTTGTGCCCTCCTCACTGCCTATATCGGGTAAGATTAAAACCTGCTGCTGGCAGATATACCGCTATAACCATGATTTTAAAATATTTAAAACGTTAAGAAAAACTTAAAATGCCTTCAACCTGAAGATGCAAAAAATTGTCTAGCAGAACTACTGTGTGTCTCAGCAATAGTTTCAAAAGGAACATGGAACAGATTCTCAAATCAGCGTAACCTTAGTCTCAGAGGATGAAAAAGGCCCAACCCTGAATGCTCCCAGAAGAGCTCCTTGCACAGATCAGCACAGCAATACAGGATCATCTGGCAGCAAACAGGTTGGAAGGAAAGGTCAAAGCACAAGACTGAATGTGCAAAACATGTTGTGACCTAGTATCTCAGCACTTTAGTACTGGAGCTGTGCAGTCAGCATAATGTCCAGCACTGAGCACACTAGGAGCTGGTTCGGAAATGGTATGCAGGTAGTAAGCAAGTACGGTGTCTTGGAAATGATAAAATGCAGAGTTTGAGGAAAAATATCAGAAAGACGATGCAGAGGAAGAATTCATCTTTTCCTGCGGCAGGTCCTCTTGTGTTCAGCGTGCCAATGCTCCTGCTGGCATTTAATGGAGCAATAAGAGGTGTTCCAGCAGCAGTGGTACATGGCTTCCTCCTCACAGTTGTAGCACTATCATAAAGAAACAAAACAAAACCACAATCATCAGAGAACAGCTACCATGAATATACGGACATCTGCAACAAATCAGACTGACATAAAAAGAAGTGTATCTACTTTATAAAAATACTTGCGTAAAATTTTACCCTAGTGAATAACAAGCAAAAAAACTGGAAAGGAAAGGGAACGGCTCCTTGATTTGTTTCCTAACCTCTACTAGAAAAATGCCAGCTGGTATTCACTTGCTGCTGGCAACATTGCACAGTCTATGGGAGTCATGATGAGCGATACCTACATTATTATACAGGATTTATATAGTGCCAACAGTTTGCGCAGCGCTTTACAAAATGAAGGTATACATTACAGTTACAATACCATTTGGTAAAGAGGAAACAGAGGGCCCTGCTCGTTAAATCTTAATCTAGCTTCAAAAATGTTAATTGTGCCCAAGATGTATCCTGAAAGATTTACCTTTTTCATTAGCTTCATAGCTTTATATTTTCAGTGCGAGACGATTTAAAGGAAGGGTCTCCAAACTTTCTAAACAAAGGGCCAATTTACTGTCCTTTTGGCGAGCCAGACTATATCCAGTGGGGGCAGAAAATTCCAGTCAGTGGAAGTAAACAATGCCCCATCATTGGTGTCAGTGGGAAGAATAGTGCCCCGCCATTGGTGTCAGTAGGAGGAATGGTGCCCCATCATTGAAGTGAATGGATGGATTGGTGCTCAACCATTGATGTTAATGGATGGAGTGGTGCCTCAAGGGCCAGATACAGGTAAGGAAAAGGGCTACATGCAGCCCACAGGCTGCAGTTTGGGGACTACTAATTTAAAGCACTGCTGCATCTGACTACTGGTCCCACAAGATTTACAGTGAGATTTGATTAACTACTGAGCTCCTCATTGTTCTCCTTGCTGGAAGAAAGCTGCACTAGAGGACCTGCAATGCAACAGTATCTTCCTACTTAGGCTTCAATTATTTTGCATGCCTGCGATTTTTGCCCCTCTACTGCTACTTTTGGAATATCATCCACTAATTATCAGATCACTGAGGGGACAGCTTGGGCATGAGGAATTAAAAAGCTGCACTTCTACCAAAATAGCTGCCTACACAAAGAGTGCAACAAGGCATGGTAAGTAATGGGAAATAGATCAGCAGGGAGTCCATAGGCTAAACTGGTGACTAGTCCTTTGCCCCCTGCTTGCTTTTTTTTTTTTTTTTTTTTTTGGGAACACCTTCCACAATTTGGGTTCCTGTAATATATTGTTTTGTTCTCCTAAGGCCTCATTCATATGGGCTTTCTGATCAGGCCTGCCTGTCAGTTTTTCAGGAGGACCTGATCAGAAGCTCCATGCAGGTCTAATGGGTAGGTTGATAGAAGTGGACTTGGGTATGCATCTACCTACCTCAGAGTCTGTCCTGTTCCTTTTATGTTTTTCCAGGCCTAAGCATGATGGATCAGAGGTAGCCAGATATAAACGAACATTTACATGTAAAATCCGTTCACATCTGACAGCCCACAGATCCAACACAGGTCCGCCACAATGTGTAGTTAAAATGTGGACAAGAACTGAACAGGCATGGATGTCACAAATGTGGCATCTGTCCCCTTCTGATCTGATTCTGCAGGAGATCTGACCACTGATCTGCTAGTGGCGCGCTACTGTGTGAAAGCACCCTAACTGATATAGCTTCTAATTGACTTGGGCCCTTTACCGGAAAATATATGTTCCTGGAGGTCAACACAGGACTGCACACCAAACAATTAATTAAACACAGCAGTACAATGGTTCGCTTATTTCAAATACCTTCCCAGTAGTTTTACTAGACCGCCCCACTACCCAAGTGTTTTACACATTAAACCATGAAACAATCATTGTTGATCAGAGACTGATTGTATCATAAATGAATTTAAAAAGATGATTTTAGCAGAAGAGTGTGTCATCTCATCTTTCTCTTATGATTGCTCAGTATATCAAATACCATGCCATCAAACAGCTGCAAGGAGACGGCTGAATAGCATTTCTCACCAGCCTAACTTCCATACAGGCAAAACAAATGAATAAAGTCAGTCCAAGAATATTTTTCCTCACCAGTGTAACTTTAAAATGCATGGGGGTGCATTTTAAAGTTACACTGGTAAGGAAAAATTATTCTTGGACTGACTTTGTTCATTTGTTTTGCCTGTATGGAAGTTAGGCTGGTGAGAAATGATATTCAGCCGTCACCTTGCAGCTGTTTGATGGCATGGTATTTGATATACTGAGCAATCATAAGAGAAAGATGAGATGACACACTCCTGCTAAAATCATCTTTTTAAATTCATTTATGATATAATCAGTCTCTGCGATCAATGATTGTTTCATGTGTAAAACAGTTGGGTAGTGGGGCGGTCTAGTAAAACTACTGGGAGGGTATTTGAAATAAGTGAACCATCGTACTGCTGTGTTTAATTAATTGTTTGGTGTGCAGTCCTATGTTGACCTCCAGGAACATATATTTTCCAGGGGGTTCTTTTTCCTAGGTTTATGCCAGGGTTGCTCAACCCGTGGTCAGTGACCTCAAACCAGGGAAGCGTATGTCTGGGGTTGGCAACCTGGGCATGCTGACCTGTCATTCAAGAGCATCAGAATAGAAAAGTCGGCACCGGAAGCACACTTTGCTTGGGACCTTTCTAGCAGTCTGGAGAGCAATGCCAGCAGAAGCAGGGAGAGGAAAAGGAGGTCAGTGTAGTAAACAACACATACAGTTCGCTTATGCAATGGGCATATTAGCACCCATAACAGGGTTTGGTGCACTTTATGAAAGTGAATGCAGTAGTTTTGGTGCTCTTTCAGAAGTGCACCACCTCCACAAGATATAATAGAAGTCTATGACAAAGCGCAGCTAACCCACAGGAAAGCCGCAGGTGCACTGTGGTGCACCCGAGTATGTGGGTAAACCGCCGCTCATCAGTGTGAAAGCAGCCTTATAGGGTTCTCAGAACAGTCAGGACTCGTTTGTGTTTGGGGGTGGTAAAGCCCCATAGTTGTTTTTACCACACCTCCCCAACCAATGGTGTAGTGTCAGGCAGCAATGCCGACCCCACCCCATGCACAAGGGGGCCTGTGTGGCCTCCCTGTCAAATGCTGTTTTATACTTGGACAGGAGGGGTCGCAGGCGCAGCGTATGCAGGAACTGATCCTCTTCATTTTCCTCCTGCAACCACTGAAAGTAGCTGCACGAGGAAAATGTCCATTATGCTATTCAAAATAAAAAATGTGAAATTCAGAAGCATTTCATTTCATTGTGGTCCGCGGCTGGTTACCAAATCACTTAATTGGCCCTCATTCTTCAAAAGGTTGAGCACCCCTGGTTTAAGCCACTTGAAGGATTGATCACTGCCACACTATGTCTGTACAAATAATCATCTGTGTTGATGACTGTAACCAGATTCTCCCACTTCTCTTCCCAATAATGCATGGGAAAATGAAAGGGAGAATTTGAATGGTTTACTTGGAAAAAGATTGACTGAGGACCATTGTGCCATGCGTTAGGTTTCTTACCCACTGCTTCTTCTTGGTCTGTGAAATTAGCTGTTTATGTTGTGCTGCCATTTTCTTGACTTCTTCCAGGAATTCCTCTTTGCATTTATCTTTTGCCTGCTTGCACTTCCTGTCCATTTCTGCCTGAATGTTGGCCATGGCTTTATTAACAGCTTGTCTCTTCTCCTCCTCCATCTCTGTTCGTAGCTAATATGGAAAAAAATGAGAATATCAGCCAACAGAAAAAAGCACTGAACATTGCAAGAAGAATCATCATCTACACCTATAGCTGTAGGAATGGACCCTGGGCCTTGAGAGTGGTGAGAGAAACCACTCTGTTAGCCATCAAACCTCAGCATAGCAAAACAAAAATTAGTAACATAAACCAAGCAAAGTACTCTTAAATTTAAAAACCACATGGGATCCCAAACCATTTTTTTGCTCACTATCTACGTTTTGATAGCAACAAAAAAAAAAAAAAAAAAATAGCTAAAGAATGGCTAATTGACTCTGTTCTTTTCAGAAGTCAAAAAAAGGGTATACTGTGCAGTGCATAATGAAAATTTAATGGAAACACTGCAGAACACTATCCCTACATTCCATAAAATCCAAGCGCCATGCCTGGATCCACTTCCTGCCAAATAGCTTTGACCATTGACTACTAGATTTCTAATGTACCTATATAGTCTAAGACTGCATGCAGTTATAGGGAACCCTTTTCAGCCAGTCCAACCCCCCCCCCCCCCCTTCCCCTACCTCAGTCTCTCCAAATCCCACACCCCCTCCCAATTCCACTAACTTATCTTTATCCTATGAGTCTTCTACACTTTGTCTAGGCATTGTCTAACCTCATCATCTGAGTTGTTCATTTGGCAATACCATCTTCATCACCTAACTTGAAGACATTAGTGATACTAACCTATGTTACATGACTTTTGTGCCTATCACTAACCACTGTTTCTTTGCAAAACTTTCAATAAACATATTGAAAAAAAAAAAAAAAAAAAAAAGAATTAGGACTCATTCAGATGGGTGCTGACACCCCTCCTGCATGCAGAGCTGCTGTATTCTGCATCTGCCTTAAAATTTGACATGTATGCAGGATTGGGTGCATGGATTCTAACACATCCATTCCTGCATACATATCAAATTTTGACACATGGCTGTGCCTGTGCATCCGCATTCACTTCTATAGCCTGCCTGCGCTCAGCTTCAAGTTCAACAACCATCTAAATGAGCTCTTAAAGTTACAAATGCAATTTGCTTATCAAACAAAAATCAGCTTAAAAAAAAAAAAAAATATCATGGCTATATTACAAAGACATCCTTGGTAAACACTGTATATAGCCCAAACTTGCAATGGAATTCTGTGCTTGAGGAATAAATTCTAACAACAGTAAGTTATTATAGATCTATCAAATTAAATTATAGGCTACAAAAATTCATATATTGTTTTAAAATGAGAGAATAGGAAATTCAATCAATAAAATGGATAGGAAGTAATATACAAATTGGCCACTGTCTAGTGTCTAAAATCCCCATAAAATACAGTATTCAATATACAATATGTACATGTGCCCATTGCCTCAACAACAGTATACCAATTGGCAGCAGGGAAGGCATCATCTGCATCATAGGACCTAAACCTATATTTCCCAATACAAGGGAAATATAAAAGGAATTAAAAAGAATGCACCTTAAGCTGGCCTGAGATGGATCGCAATTCAGCTGCAACCGGCCACATTTCGATTCACGTGTTGGCGTCTCTGTTCAACTGAAGTTGATTGTTGAATGTGAATGTTGGAAAACTTTTGTCATTCAGTGGCTGCAGCCACTGCTCAGTGTATCCTGACAACAGAGAGACCTGCTGTCACAATACAAAGTCTCAGTGGGGGAGATTCCTTTATCCAATTCGCTTGTGCGGAGAAATTGGTTTGTTTTTTTTTCTTCAGCGCACTGCATGGTGTGAAAAAAAAAAAAAAAAAAAAAAAAAAAAAGCAACCCATCTATAGCCAGCTTAAGGTCTGCAGAGGCATAGAAGTTATAAAATTATCTTCATTGAAAGGGCAGCGATTTTTCTAAATCATAATGGGTGAGGGCAGGCTACACTTTTCTAGTCTCCTGTTTAAAGGAAACATGTCATGAGACAATTTCAGTTAAAAAAAAAAAGTAGTTGGCTACATATACTGGGTCCTTGGCACTGCCATGTTGACCGTGGGAAGTCAGATTGTCCAGCAGCCTCCTGGATGGTAAGAGGGGGGCTGTCAAGAAATAGGTAGCCACTGCCAATCCCCCCCCCCCCCCCAAAAAAAAAAAAAAAAAAACATGCAGAGGAGTCGGGATGAGGACAGTCAGAACTTCCTGTAGTAAGTGAAGACCCCCTTTAAAAAATGACTGCACAATTAGTGTTTGTGTATATTTAGCAGTACAAGAACATACTCTGAGGTACAAAAGATATTTATATTTATTTTTCTTTGGCATAAAGCTACTGATTTAGCATCTAGTGGGCATTTCAGCACTCCCCATACAACAGCTAAAAAGTCCTGGATCTCTGCAATGGTTCAGCAGTTTTTACCCCATAATTTTAACCATTTCTTCAGAAGATTGTGAGGAACATGGACATTCTCTGACCTCCTCTAGGGCTTCTCGCACGGCTCTTTCAGTCTCCCTCTTGTTGTCTGTGCTCATCCTCTCCTTGAACTCATTAAAGATCTTGCTGTACTTGTCGTGACACATGTTCTGACACCCACCATCGTTACTGGTCTGTGTGCTACGGTGTAACATTCTTGGGGATGAGGCACTTTGCTTCTTGGTCTGTGTATAAACAGACACCTTCTCAGCTGGTGGTGGCATGGAGGGAATTTCCTGACTTGAGCTCACAGCTTCTGTCTCAGGTTCTGGTTCTGACTCCTACAAAAAAAAAAAAAAAAAAAGAAGAAAAAAAATGCATATTTATTAAAAATACATTTTATTACAAAAATCAGATCTTGAGAAATAATCACATCTTTATCCATACATTATGGCTATTCATGGCATAGTGGTAGGGCAGCCAGTATTCTCTTCAACAAATTTTCAAACGGATAATGAAATAGTGAAAAAAAAAAAAAAAAAAAAAAAAAAAAAAAAAAAAATCACAAAAGGAAAGGATTTCACTGAATAGTTGTCAATATCAACTAAAATAGGGCTAAACAAACTAAAATAAGGAAGGGAAGAAAAAGGAGGTGGGGTTTAAAATAGTCCATACAAGCGGTGTTCAAATGATCCAAAATCATCTTCAACAATTTGCAATTTTCCAGTGAAGTAATTTAAATCTATCATCATCCTGACAGGTAATTTGGTTCTACTTAATGTGCATAATAAAATAAACCACATAAAAAACATTTACGGTTCTTAAAATATTGTTTTTCTTCTTTTTTTGGCTTTTTCATGGGACGAATAACCACTCTTATTACATACAGTCCTCTGTGCTCAGCGCATACACTCCTCCTATTCACTGCACATGTGTACTGTGGGAGCAGAGCAGCAGAAGCTATGAGAAGGGAAGTTGATCATGAGGTCACTAATGTCTATAGGCTGTGCAGAACACAACAGAACACTGCTGCAGCTTACGAAAATGACGGAAATAAAACTAAGGGGATGTGAATGTGGCTTACAAAATTAAACAAAGGTGATTCGTCTGACAGGATATGGGTGTAAATTAATGACAGGATTGAAAAGAAACAAGAGCTTACTTCCTTCTTGGCTTCTACGTTTTGAGTGCGTCGTCCTTTCTTGGCCCGCGGTTCCTGAGATGCTGCTTTCTGCTGGGAAGATGAAGGGGAAGTGCAATCGTGATAACACTGCACAGATCTCAAACATTAAAAATATATGCAGAGACAAGATAATCTGTAAATTGCACAGATCTCATTCACATACTGTTTATAACTCGTCTGGGCCTCAATTAGAGGAGCCAGGGAAAACAATTCATGGACTTGTCTGGTTGCCCAGACAATCTATCCCTTTATGTCTGGAGGAAACTAGGACAAGCTGTGAGGAGGTTGTGTGAGGACTCCAGGTGTACTCCAGGTTATCAGTCACTTCTGAAGACCGTTGTACGTTTGCATAAATCACATCATCATCCATTACCTTCACAGGAATAAAGTCATCATATCTAGCAAGAAGGGGGAGCTAATAAAGGGAAAACAGTTTGTGTCTGCAGTGTGTGCTCAGCATTTCATTATAAGCAAACCAATGCCTGAATATTTTTTTTTTTTATAGTAAGATTGTTCATTCTGTATCAGCACAGTGAATCATAGTCTGTGACTTTTCTTTTACATTTTAGCTAAGGATCATATCCTTTGGTGAGGCAGGAAACACACATTATACTATGATATATGCAATCCATTTTTTTAATTCATTCTTTAACCAAAAAAAAAAAAAATCACTTATGCAATATAGAGATACACCTTAGCACCCCCCCCCCCCCCCCCCCCCAGAATATCAGGTTATGGATCAACAGAATACACCAATACAGAAATACAATCTATTTTGAAGAGATCAATAAAGTGGAGAATATAAATCAGTTATTCCTACTGACATGAATGACAATGTTTTCTAATTAATGCACCGATTAATAGTACAGAGCCCAAAAATATATAATAATATGGATACATAATAACACATATCAGTGTGGGTGTACCTGGTAAGACCAGAAATATTTCTGGCTGGGAAACTGTCCTAGTCTGAGAAAGAAAAGAATCTGAACAATTAAGAAAGCACGTGCATATAACTATGCACATCCTTACATGGATGCTAAGATCCAAGATCTGCACGTCTGCTGTCCACACTCTCCACATACCTCTCAGGTCTATGGTGAACAAAGGTTACTCCAGGGAACAATATGTAATTGTTCAGACTAGCTACATATATAAGCAGAAAAACAAAAATGCCTGGGCTGTCAGCTGAAAATGTGCAGAGCCAATCACATCAGACTTTGAATGACTGCTGATAAAAATTCAGGTAGAAAATGAACATGGAATCTCTATTGATGTCTATACAACATATTTAAATATAGTCAAACTTTTAAACATTTGTTTGGACCTCAATCCTCCCAATACTCACTGGTCTGCAAACACCAGGGTGCCACATTAAAAAATAATTTAATAAATTAAGCAATGCCCTTTACCAAATTAATATATTCAAGATTAATGCGATTAAAAACGGCAACACCAGGTAATGAAGTCAGAGAGCTGCTAATGCAATCCAGAAAAGCATACAACTAGCACTACAGCTGGCCATAGGCTCTCAGGACAATATCACAGCAGGGGCTATTTGGCCATTCAACTCATTTGTGTGGATGGAAGAAACAGCTTTTTTCATTCAGTCACTGAACAGAATTTTCTGAAAATGGCAGGTGTCCTGGTCATGGGACAACATTATCCCAGTAAGGGGGAATCCTCCCATTCACATCATTTGTACGGATGAAGGAATCAGTTGTTTTGTTTTTTTCCGGCCAGCCTGCAAGCTCAACAAACATAAACCATGTATGGCCAGCTTTGGACAATTTCTTTTCCAATTGCTGTTTGCATGACGGCAAGTAGGGTGACCATGGTGACAGGCCAGAAGATAAGGGATACAGTGATGATTCCATGACAATTAAGGGCCAGGCGCAATATAGCATTGAAAGCAGTGGTGCACCGAAATTAAACTTCTGGCCCGAAAATGCAGGATGCACTTGACCTGAAACCAACAGTTTTGTTTATCAAATATATTTTTATATATAACTTTTATTGAAAGTAACACAAAAATTGGACAGGAAATAAAATGAAATGTACAACTGGTAAAATAAATATTGAACAAGTCACCATTTTTCTAGGTAAATACATTTTTAAAGGTGCTATTGACATGAAATGTTGGCCACATGTTGTAACAACCAATGAAATCCATACATACACACACAGAAACCAAAACAAATAAGTTCAGAAATTAAGTTATGTGTAATAAAATGGAATGACACAGGGAAAGAGTATTGAACTCATGCAAAAAGGTAGGTGCAAAAAGGCATGGAAAGCCAAGACACCAGTTAAAATCGATCAGCAATCCTGCCCCTTGTCAGTGCAAATTAATATCAGCTAGTTCAGTTTCAACTGATGGCCTATCAAAAGGTGTCTCATTACCAAGGTGTCACACAAGAAATATCTCATGATGGGTCAAAGCAAAGAGCTCTCTCTCGCAAGATCTTTGCAACCATAATGTTAGCTGCAAAACATATTGATGGCATTGGTTACAGAAGAATTTCTAAACTTATGAATGTTCCAATAAGCGCTGTTAGGGCCATAATCCGGAAGTGGCGAGAACATCATTTCACCATAGACTGGCCACAACCAGGTGGTCCTCGCAAGATTTCTAACAGAGGAATGACAATAATGATCAGAAGAGTTGTCCAAGAGCCAAGGACAACTTGTGAAGACCTTCAGAAAGACCTGGAATTAGCAGGTACAATTGTTTCAAAGAAAACAATAAGTAATGCACTCACCCGCCATGGCCTGTATGCACGCTCAGCACGCAAGACTCCATTATTAATGAAAAAGCACACTGAAGCTTGTTTACAATTTGCTGCACAACATTTAGACAAGCCTGTGAAATACTGGCAGAATTTAGTCTGGTCAGAGGAGTTAAAATTGAACTCTTTGGATGCCATAATACACACCATGTTTGGAGGTTAAATGGCACTGAACACGTAATTCCGAAAACACCATACCAACAGTGAAGTTTGGAGGCGGGAACATCATGGCATGGGGCTGATTTTCACCATACAGTACTGGCAAACTGCATATTATTGAAGGAAGGATGAATGGGAACATGTATCAAGACATTCTTGATAAAAATCTGATGCCATCTACCAGGATGATGAAGATGAAACGAGGATGGACATTTCAGCAAGACAATGATCCCAAACACAAACCCAAGGAAACTCTCAATTGGTTTCAAAGAAAGAAAATAAAGCTGCTAGAATCACCGGATTTGAATCCAATAGAAAATTTATGAAAAGAACTACAGATCAGAGATCATAGAAAAGGCCCATGGAACCTTCAAGATTTGAAGACTGTGTGGTAGAATGGGACAAAAAAAAAAAAAAAAAAAAAACACACCTGAGCAATGCATGCGACTAGTTTCTTCATACAGGAAGCATCTTGAAACTCATTACCAACAAAGGATTTTGTATGAAGTATTAAATAAATTTCAATGTGTTCAATACTTTTTTCCCTTTGTCATTCCATGTTATTACACATAACTTTTCAAATTTCATGTCAATAGCACCTTTAGAAATATATATTTACCTAGAAAAATTGTGGCATGTTCAATAATTATTTTACCCGCTGTATATAAAATTAAAAAAAAAAGCTTAGCATTTTTGCGTTGAAGTCAATAGGGGGCATTTTTGCTTTGAAGTTAATGGGAATGCAATCTTGCATTGAAGCCAATTATCATTATCAGTAAATTTTTTTTTAAATTGTCAAAACACTGATAACCCTATTTTCGGCGGCCAATATATCATTGCATCACTAATTAAAAAAGTGTTACAAAGGTCAGCCCTTCTTTGTAACCAAATCATAAAAACATGCCTACACACTGCACTAAATTCAGACCCACTTGCATAACTGATGAACATAAAAACACAATATGTTAACAAAATGGTTAAAAAGGCATTTTTTTTTAAATTTACCATAAAACCCTTTTCTTGGAGTACATTGAGGGACACAAAGTCTTTCACCTTCACATTAAATTGCCATCTACAGGAGGATTGGACACTAGCAAACAAATAACTGTAGGCCAGTCCAAGACAACCCCTCCTACTACCATCTTGCCTCTTTTGTAGCAAGCAGTATTAAGTGCATAATCAAACACGGAGGGGTTCAGCCTCTATCCCTCAATGGACCTTGTGCAAAGGATTTTATGGCAAGTGCAAAACTTATTTTCTTTTTCCTTCATTGAGGGACACAAACGTTTTAACCTTTGGTACATACAAAAGCAGTCCAACTGAGGGGTGGGCAACCATCAATGACAGGCCAAGAAAACAACAGAGAACAAAGTTCAAGAATTCAAAGAGCTGCCCTGATGGACTTTATGCCCAAAGCTGGCATCAGATGAGGCCTCAATGTCCACCTGGAAGAACTTAGGGGATGTGTGAAGGTTCAAGATCAGGCATCCCTCACCTGTAACATAGATCCTGAAAAACCTCTACGGTGTAGGGACCACCCTTTGGGTCCAGACATTTCAATCTGAGGAAGTATGACTGACAACTCCCAATGCATGGGTTTTAAACGGCAGACAAGTTCTGCTCAGGACAGAATTAACTCTGTCATCGTGTCGAGCCTTCTAGTACCACCCTGATGGTTGATGTATGCTACTGCTAATGTTGTTCATCTGAATCCAGGACAGATGATCCTCCAGCAGGATGAGCAAACACTACAGAGACCACCAGTTTGCCCAAAGATGGCACTTCCTCGATTCCAGAGCCAAATTCCTGATAAATCAGGCCAGGGACAACTTGGTCCTAGGTGCCAAATGCATTGGCCTGTCCACAGACTAGACTTGACATGTCCTGAAAAAACAGATTGCAAAAACACAAACAGAGCAGAATGAGTGTAAGGTACAAACCTGGAATAGCAATGTTCAAGCAATGATTTCAGATGGCTCAGGATCCATCCGAACAGCTACAATGTTTAGACATTCCAAAGCCCACACTGACCAACAGAGCCTAAGCAGACTGTTACCGTAACACAATGTCATCTAAGTATCCCACAATGGTGATGCCACA